CACCTCACCCCCTCACCTCCCCTAACCCCTAACCCCCCACTCTCCCCCCCCCGTAAGGTCCCAGACTCCTACCCACAACCACCCACACCCTGTAGCTGGGTAACTCACGTCAGGTTTGCACAGAAGACGGCGAAATTGAGACTCCTGTCGTGGGATATAATTCAACGACCAAAATAACCATGCTGGGTGTTCGGATTTACTGGGTTTTAAAGACGAGAACACTAAGATGGCAACACTTATTTTAAAAGATTGTCGTTATTTTTTTTTTATTTCTATCTCTTTTTCTTTCTTTTTCTCTCTCTATTCCCCAAAGGCCAGGATCTAGTTTCCCAAAGGTGGGTACGTGTGATTTTCTCTCTAGGTTGAGGTGTGGTAAGTGATCTATCTTCCTGGCTTACTTAACACGCGGAAAACTCCCGCTAAAATTTGTCGAAACTGTGCCGAGTGTCTGTCTGTTTTCCGCCCCGCCCCTGAGGTGAGGCTGAGGGGGATGTGCTTAGAGGGTTTCAGGAATATAAGATTAATAATACACAATGAATAACCTTACCTAACCTGAACCTTTCATAACCTAACCTAACCTGACCTTTCATAACCTAACCTAACCTGACCTCTCATAACCTAACCTAACCTAACCTGACCTCTCATAACCTAACCTAGCCTAACCTGACCTCTCATAACCTAACCTAACCTGACCTCATAACCTAACCTGACCTCTCATAACCTAACCTAACCTGACCTCTCATAACCTAACCTAACCTGACCTCTCATAACCTAGCCTAACCTGACCTCTCATAACCTAGCCTAACCTAACCACAACTTCCATAAACCATATTAAATTTTACAACAGCACCTAATCTGAACTCCTGATAATGCACTAGTCAGCTCAATAAATGTTGCCAGGTCTAGGTGTGGGAAGGATGTTGTGTGTGGGAAGGATGTTGTGTGAGGGAAGGATGTGTGTGGGAAGGATGTTGTGTGTGGGAAGGATGTTGTGTGTGGGAAGGATGACTGGGTGGCCATTAAGGAACATTTTTTTAACCTGTCGGCACATTGGCAGCTTAAGGTCGCTTCAGTCCCTAAATCTGTGTTTTCTTTTGTGATTTTTAATTCCTTGAGGTCCAGAGGGTTAAACCATCGTCCTCGGGGTTTAATCATCCGGTTTAACCATTGTTTTTAGAGGGTTAAACCATCGTCCTTAGAGGGGTGAGGTATAGGCATGGGTAGGGGCGACAGGTCGAATGGGCCCCTGTCCTAATAGGTCCCAGATCCAATTGGGTTTCAATCCTAACGGCCCCTATCCCTAATCCTATTGATTAAGTTAGATTGGAGCCCAATTCTTATAGATTAGATTAGGGCCTGTTAGGACTAAGGCCCAATTTTGATAAGTTTATTTAGGGCCTGTAATAACTGGGGTCCATTCATAGTTTAGTTTGGGGCCTATTATCTCTGGGCCCCAATTAACCCTGAACCCTGATAGGAAATGAGGGAGGGGTCAGTAGGTCTGCATCTCAGTTCAGGGGAGAACGCCTCTAGTTACTCCCAGCTTTCTAAGTCCTTGCTAGAAGTCCAGTTTTCTGTGAAGTGTCGAAATTTTTTTATATACACGTACAGTATTATGTGTTTTAAAGTATTACAATCTGGTGAGAAAAGTAGAAAGTATTATACGAAATTTGTAATTTACTGGGAAAAAATATAAATAGAATGAAGATAAAAATAGTAAGATATATCATGGGCGGTTCCAGGAAGGGGGGCTGGGGGAACGGACCCCCCTCTCTCATCAGAATATTACATAGTTTTTTTTAAGCAATATTGTAGTCAGGTGTCTTTGTGTGTTTGTTCCTTATTTATTTCCACAGTTTTGAGGATGGTGCTGAAATTTGGTAGGGAGGTACTGGTGACCTAGTGAATGGTGATGCACTATATCCAGGAATATATCCAGGAAATTTTGTTTCATTGATAACTCGAGTGAAACTATGTACAGTCAACTACGGTCATTATAAGAAGTAAGAGAAAGGGTAAATAACACAGGCGGTGGAGGTTGAGTGTGTTTGTGGTGTACAGTAAGGTTCCCGTAGTAAAGCAATCTGATGTCGAAACTACCTCCTTGAAATAATATCCTCATGAAATTTAGACACCCCAGCTTAATTCACCTGAAGATTAAACACCCAAACGTTAAACTAACCTAACCCTCCTTTAAGTAGAGTTAGTGTATAATTATCAGATAATAATTAGAAACATCGAATAAGGAGTAACAATAAACCACACCAGCCAACGATGGCGTGGTAAACCCTAGGCTGGCTAATGCAACTCAGACGATTGGTAATTTGCATACAATATTAACCCATCGTTTACAGTGGACGGCGATGCTTTCATCTCTATAATTGGTTGAGAGAAATCTGGTATGTTTCAGCTCACAAAATAACATTAATTCTAGACTTAGATATTTTTAAGATAACCCGGATGTCTTTTGATATGTGGGACGCCAGCGGATTTTTTTTTTGTAAAGGTATGGGTCTCTCTCTCTCTCTCTCTCTCTCTCTCTCTCTCTCTCTCTCTCTCTCTTTAAAAACACGAATCATAGACAACCGAACCATAAACGACAGAAAAAGCATGACAATAAACGCTTGAAAACACAAACCTTACAATATAAAACAAAATCGAATGGACCGTATTATTCACTGCCTCCCCCTCCCTCCTTCCCCTACTAATTCTTGAATCCTTGGAAGGTGTCACTCAAGCCACAACTTTCTAATGATAAAGACTCGGGGTAACTTAACCAGCGCCGCCACATTCTGCTGTAACAACTTTCTGTGGTCTGTAATCTTTCATTCTTTTTCATCATTTATCTTTCTGTGTTTCCCTTTTCTTCTCTTTTTCTTTATCTTCATCTCCCCGTCTCCTCTTCTCTCTATCCCCCTCTTTCTCTCAACCATGTTTTAGATTTTTGATGCTCTTGGTTTGGTTATCTTTAGTTTTTCTTAACTTTCTTGTCATTCAAACCGGACCTAAACAGTGCGTAACAGAGACGTGACCGATCGCCCAAGCGGCTAACGAGCCGATCAGTGGTGAAGAGGATCAGTGGCGTAGCTAGAGTGTGTGCCGCCCGGGGCGGCCCTTGAGTTTGCCGCCCCCCCCCCGTGCCCCCACAAAAAATACATATTGCACAGTGACTCACTCATATATATATATATATATATATATATATATATATATATATATATATATATATATATATATATATATATATATTAAATAGTTTGTGTACCATTATAATATTACTGTACTTTCACATACTCAAATATAGTATGCTTTAAATACACACCAAACATACTTAAACTTTATAAGTAACAGTTAAACAAAAAGCAAAAACGACATATAGGATAGGGAAAAAAGTAAAAAAGTGTAAAAAATTAGGACCATCTTTATTTCTGAAATGAAAACTACAACTTTCTACAAAGTAACTTTTCTTGTTTTTTTGTTGGCAAATTCTTCAATGACATTGTCAAAAACTATTTCATCTGTCAATTGTCGCTCTATAGACAGTATGGCAAGATTTCTCAACCGCAAGGTGCTCATAGTAGGCCTAGATCTTAAGTAATTCTTGATCAGTTTTAGTTTCGAAAAACTCCTCTCACAGGTAACAACACTAACAGCAATTGTGAGGAAAATCCTCGGCATTATTACTATATTTGCAAAAGTTCAAGGGGGCCTTCTTTCCACGTCTGTATTCTGTCTTTAATAGTTATAGCAGCAACAGCAACAAAATGCTGAAGTCTTTTTCTCTCAACGAGGAACTCCTCTTTATCAATGTCGTCGTGATCGTGATCTATTTGACACTCATATTTATCATCCAAAAGATTCAATGGGGTAAGGAAGGCATATTTCTCAGCAAGTTCATGAAGCTGTTGAAATCTCAAAGTTATTTCTTGGATCACTCTGTCCAGCGAAGAAAACATTTCTCTCCTCATTTCAATGTCGTATGGCAATTCAGCATCTCGTGATCCTTCACTTTTGGGGGGCGGCACTTTTGGGTCTGCTCATCACCCATATCTGCAGCTACTGGAGACGTTAATCCTTCCCTTTGTATCGGCGGCAAGTTAATCCTCGTCGTGTCTGACCTAACACCTGACCCACACCACATGAGCTCACTGGCGTACTTGTTTGAAGTTGTTTCCTTAATCCTCAACAGGTTACAGGTTGTGTGTGTGGCGGGGGGCGCATAGCAAGGGTGTAGCTCATGACGTGGCCGTGATGATGTGGGTCAGGTGTTAGGTCAGACACGACAAGGATTAACTTGCCGCCGATACAAAGGGATGGATTAACGTCTCCAGTAGCTGCAGATATGGGTGATGAGCAGACCCAAAAGTGCCGCCCGGGCGGACCGCCCCCCTAGCTACGCTAGTGACAACGACGTAGGAGGAACTTTGGGACATAAGGGGGTGTACTGTAAATGAGATTGAGGTAACCAAAGCGCAGTCTCTTCTGCAAAGTTTGTTGAGATCGAGTCATGGATTGATATTTTTATTTTTTATCTGCGAAAACGGTGGAATTTCAGATTTGGTCTTGTTGCAATGGTGCAAATAACACCTGTTGACCTTGTCAATTATTCGAATATCTGGTTGACTCGTGAGCTTTGTATCTACAATATCAATCCATCAATTATTTCCTGTTATATATTATATTTAGTTAATTATTTCATATTGTAGCCTGTATATTTTAAATCACACATATCCCTGTTTATCGCATGTACTTGTGTACTCGTCATTACAATACTCTAGCCAGCATCAAAAGAATCGAACAATATCAACAGGCAGTATTCGAAAGCGTGTTTCTGCGTAGTCTATAATTTGTTTCATTTCCTGTTTGTTTTAGTGTTATTTCAAATAATTCTCAAACATATTTTCTTTTTTTTTTACTTAAACAGAGACACAAATATTTTTATTTCTTATTATGGTCGTTTAGTAAATTTGTTGAGTCCTTCAAGTCACTGTAGGTAATTCGAACAAGTGGTGGGACATCAGACGTAAACAACAGGTGGTCGCCTGGACGTAGATAGGTACTGTACATTGGCTCAACATGTTTATAGTGGACAAGAACTCCTGATACCTCAAAAAGATTGGGAACCTACCCCTTTTCACAGCATAGAATGAATGGTACACGTCATCATGTGTCGTTTCTTATAATTTTCGCCACTTATCAGCCGTTCGGGCGGTTGGTCTATACAGTGTTAGCACCGGACGGGACCGGGGACCTGTAACCTGTGATGGTTGGTAGAGTCACACTGGATAACACCCTTTTCACTTATGTCTTGGCGAGTTACACGCATCATCTTCAGTGTGATTGTCAGAACTACAGCTGTTACAGGTCTTTTCAACTGCTTAATTGTCTATTAATACTGTTGTGTCTCGATCTGTATTATTTCTCAGCAGAGTAAACTATCACAGGTGTTGAGGTAGAGGCTCCTTGAAGACTACGAGACTGGTGCAGAAGATGTCACAGACCTGTGATTGATCCACCTTCCCGGGAATGCCTAGCGCATTATATTATAAGGGAGTTATATAGAGTCTCCCTGCCCACCCTGTACATTGACTGTACTGTACAGGTATAAAAACATCTTAAATACTGTAGTAAGTTGACTCTACCATGAACAGCCCAAGTAAGACTGAAAAGCTTACTCTACAGTATTGCTGTACACTACATAATAATTGTAAAAGTGTTCAAAGCCTGAACTGTAGTATATATATAACAGAAAAGAAAGAACTTGAGGTAGATGTCTTGACTATTGTACGGTACAGTATTACCAGGTGGAAGTTACAGTCTAGTTACCCAGGCAAATGTTTCTATAAACTACAAATCAGTTATACAAAATTCTTTGAATCTCAAAGGGCCTTCACCTAAAATTTCAAGCCAAAGAACCATTTTCAAGTTTCTCTTCCCTTCAGAGAACTCGCTGCTTATTCTGGTTTTTTATTCTATTTTGAATTAATAAAATTTTGTATGCATAACTTACTAGAATATTTGGGCTAAAGTGGGTGCTTCCTTTTTTTTAAGCGATTTCTTGTTCATTTGTTTTAGAGTAATGCTGGAAGTTTTTATTTCCTTTATGTTTATTACTTTCACTATGTTAATATTAAATTTACATATTCTCCTGTTTTTCTTACATCTTTTGCCTCATCAAGATTTATATTATATAACACTTGACAAACACTTGATACAGTATAACGTATACAGTACTGGTATTTGTTAATACTTATATATCATATACTAGTTGATATACCATGTCAACTGATATACCATATGTCATTAACGTACCAGATCATATACCGTATAAGGAACTTGGAAATAGATAGTTTATTTACTATGTTTTTTATGTTACAGGAAACAACTAAAATTAAGGCCAGAACTTGTATGAATAAGAGATGGCGATGGCTGACGTGAGAATGCACGAGCGTCTGCAGGTGATCAGAAACCACTTAATCTTGTGCTCTGGTCATGGTGGTACTGTAAGGAGAGTAAGTGGTTGTTGTCTTGTGTTTGGGGAATTCTACTTATTTCGTCATCTCTTCCCTGACACTTTCTACTCCTGTCCTCCTTCACTTGCCCTTGTCATTTCCTTCCTGTATTTCTTTGAAGTTTCTGTATCACACGACCCCATCCCTGCCGCAACTGTGGGAGAGGAATAAGGGTAATTATTGCCTGAGGATAATCATATGGACAAACCTTATCACTTTGTCTCTTATGATGGCCAAGAATTGAATGAGTCTTGAGAAACCTAACCTAACCAAACCTTGAGTGAGAAACGTGACGAGCACAATTTTTCAGCCATCATGAGAAACAGTGTGATGAGATTTGTCTGTACGGTTAGCCATGGTGATAATATTTTTGCCATTAGTCATTTGGTACATTAGTGATTCTTGTTTTTAAGAACAAAGTAACATGAATTTTGATAATATTTTCTCTTTTGGGTAGGGAAGACAGTCATTTGTTTGGGATTTGAAAATTGCTCCCCCCCCCTCCTTCCCAAGCTTACTTCACCATAAGAATAATCATCCTAATGCTAATATAACCTAACCTAACCCTGCCAGGTATCATTAGGGTTTTTAATCATCAAGTGGAATAAGATGGGAAATAATCCTCACATTATTATTTATTTTATAAGGGTGATTCAGCAAAGAGTACATTAAATTAGAGGATGAAATTCTTTGATAATTCTAAACCACAATGTCTCTATGGTAAAATGTCAGATTCTGCATATGCCCACGTGTTCGTGACAGGTGCAGGCAAATTAAACGTAGTCCAGGCATTCTGGAACGCATCAGACAATCAATGGTACGACGTGTAGAGGCCTGCAGTGAGGGCGAAGGGGGCAACTTTGAACATTTCCTTTAGGTAACAAAGAGGGGTCACACTGTAGAGATCTGTGAATAAATTATTACAAAAACCTATGGGGGTTTCACTTCAAATTTACTCTCATTAATACAACATCTTCAATGTGTTGTAACATGGAAACGATGCAGAATCTAACATTTTACTATAGAGACATTGTGGTTTAGAATTATCAAAGGATTTCATCATTCAATTTAATGTACTCTTTGCTGAATCACCCTGTATATTGTACTATATAGTGTACTGTAGCTTTGTCTAAATCAAAACAGTTAATACATTAAGCTTGTCGTTGACTTTATGCTTTTTCAGAGTAAAGAGTAGGTGGTCTTCTCTCATTTACCTGCTCATGTTGATGATATTTCTATTCTATTTTCTTATAGAGAGAAGAACAAGTTATCTTTGCACCTTCATCTGTTCAAGCTGATGTTGTGAAAGTACTCCAGGCAGGCTTGGCTAATATTGGTGTGACTGATGTTGAGGTAGAGCCACCACCAAGAGGACTGGAGAAGGAGTATGCTACTCTGTTAACACCAGCAGCTGTCAAATTTGTGGCTGATCTCACCAAACAGTTCAACAATAAAGTTGACTTGGTAAGATAGATAGTGTATTGGTTAAATCAACCCAATTTAATCCCTCCCCTCCAGTGTAATAATTTCTGTTGTCTCTCCTAAAATAAGTCACCTAATTTCCAGACTGTTTTGTTATTGCCTGCTGCCCTCCTGCTTTCACTGTACACCACTATAGTAGCATCTCTCTTTCCCCTTCTCTTGCCTGATATATACTGACTCTCACTTTCACTGGCTGATAATAAGTTTCTATTTACTTTTCACAACTGTTTTATAGCTCAAAATTGTCAGGGAGTTACTTATGTGATACAGTACATCCACACGAACACCCTTTGTCAGTGTCTGCCATGACCTAGTTTAGTAGTAAGCAACACTCATACAGATCACCTTTACTCCTTAGGTATAAAGGGCCTCTCTGTGCTGAATAAAATCATTGGGCTTCAGCAAAATAAAGTATAAAAAGTTGCATCCAGTGTTGAAGTGATGAAGATGGTAGATGCAGCTCCTCACACAGGGAACCAGGATGGCAACAATGCATTGTACTCTTAGTCTAGTGGTTGTTTCAAGGTTTGGTTCACTAGGTAGAATCCCTCCTCCCAACCACTCAACTCTAAGTTTAATTTTAAATCTGTCAGGTTCCCTAAAAGTGAAAATTAACATGCATAGTAAACTGATCGGGTGACTGGTAAAATAGGCCCCAGTCCTAGAGACTACTTCATCTAACCTAACCATTAGGATTGGAACTCAGTCCTAATGGGTGAGTCTATGTTGAGGGTGAATAAGACTAGAATCAGATTAACCTGCAGTTGGTAATTACCTCAAGTTTTGTTGAATTTGAAAAGATTTTGGCAGGATTTAATGCAGCTGTAGGGTAAAGTGTACGCTTTGAGCATCACCAACATAAATACTGTACAAGTGTTGTTCTCTGTTAAACTCTAGATTAATGTTAGCATCATTATCAAGTAGGATATTATACTATGATTGTAGGCAGCACTGCAGAAGATATAATTCTTCATTTAGATAAAAGAACAAGAGTAATTAGATGAGAAATAAATTCCTAATAATGTAATTTTATTACAGATGCTGAAGGAGCGGATAAGACGGAAAGTAGAGCTTGATATTAACGGTCATCTTCCCAACTTCTCAAATAATCCTAAGGTAAAGTAAACATCACAGAATATATAAATTACAACTGCTTCTCCTTAACTCACACCTCCTACACCCTGCAACCTCCATTGGCCAGAATTGAAACAAACTCTGGTAACTTGTTCTAACTAGGTATACACCTTGGACTTGATCAAATTACTGTATAACTAACTTTAGTCAGTGGTATGAACTGACCAACGTTCCTGCCTTCTTTGAGGAAGGTTCTTTTCATTGGTGCTGCACCTCTGCCAACATCAAAGTTCCATCCAGTGTTCACTGATGTGTTTGGGAATGTTAAATGTCCACATATTAACAACCTTCCATAATCACGATGCATGTATATGTACTGTGCTGTTTATTAATATAAACATTATAATCACAGAGTACTAAATTTAATTATTCACTCCCTCTTCGTAGGTACAGGATGAGAGCTGGAGAGTGGCTCCGGTGCCGAGGAGACTTGTATGTCGTCAGCTTGACCTGGGGGATGTGTCTCCAGCTAACACTGACAAGTTTTTAGAGGCCCTAAAGTGTGATGTGAATGGAATACAGACAGACTTCGACGACGGTCACTGTCCAACCTGGCGTGCACAGTTATGTGGTCTTCACAATGTGTACAAGGCTGTGTTTGGTCTCTTCCCTGGCCTGGGAGACATCAGCCAAGTACCAGTGCTAATGTTACGTCCTCGTGCTTGGAACATGATTGAACACAACATGATGGTCAGTGATGCAATGTGTTAGTTATTGAATTTGCATTTGAATACTGTAATCTGTTTTGTAATGTAGTACAGTATTGTATGTTTTCCTTATACAGTATATTGTGTCTGTAGCCATTCAAAATATGCCTCTTCCTTTATTTACAGTAAAATGGAAATTTTTCTCAGAATTTCATGAAAGATCATTTATTGTGAGCCTCAAAGCATTTTTAATTAAATCTGTTTTGAATTTCGCAAATCAATCAACTATCGTAGTATGTTTAATGAATTACCATAATAAGTGAATAGAAAAGTAAGACAATAACAAGTTATAATTTTTTTCCTTGAACTGATGTTTTGATTCTAAAGAGGAATGTATGTAGCCAGACAAGACACTGTTTCAGGTTGATGGTAAGGAAGTCCCTGGACCTCTATTTGATTTTGGTCTTCTCATGTTCCACTGTGCTAAACGTCTCCTGGCAGCAGAGAGCGGACCATACTTCTATCTCTCTAAACTTGAGGGAGCTAATGAGGCTAGAGTTTGGAATGAAATCTTTTGTTGGACCCAAGAGAAGCTGAATATTCCACAAGGTTCATGCTCAGTTTTATATTGATGTTGCTTGGAGAAAACAATTAATATTCTTGTACATAAGAGAGGGGTCAATTTTGGGGAGGTGATATCGACCATATATTAACCATTTCAATTCAAACTGTTTACACATATACCATGAAGTTGTGCAGTGAGTTATATTGTTTTAGAAAGCTGTTGATCCTGATGATATTTTGGGGAACTTAACTTTTTTTTATACTTAAGAAAGGATCATTGTTTCTAGGTATTACCTTAACAATATTCACCTAATATACTTCAACATTTTAAGCTCATATACCATAAGGTGATTGACTACCTTATGCTATATTTTTTTAGGATGTTGTTTTTGGTGTTTGTTGTAAAAAAAAAAAAGTTATTTTAGATTTCATGGTCATTCAATAACTGAGGATACTTTTCAGGCACGATCAAGGCTTGTGTGTTAATAGAGAACATCCTGGCGTCATTTGAGATGGAGGAGATCCTGTATGAGCTACGCAACCATTCCCTCGGTCTGAACTGTGGTATCTGGGACTACTCGGCCTCATTTGTCAATAAGTTTGGTAAGTACAGTAGCTGCCAGAAGAGTTTTTTTTTTTATTATTGAAAGGTAAAGGAGGTCCCCGGGTTATGTACAGTCTCGTTCAAGATTCTTCGAACACTGCTGAAGACGGGTGGCAACTCAAGGCCGTTTGTTTACTATAGTACGTAGTATAATATAATACGAAACAGCAAAGCCCAACCATTAAGTAAGCAACAGGGAACTAAATAACCAATCACCGATAACCTTTTACATTCATTCATAATTTTTACTATGTACTGTAGTAATCAATCCGCCTTGAGTTACCAGCTGTCTCCAGCAGTGATTGAAGAATCTTGAACGAGACTGTACGTCCGACATACGAATGAGGTCCCATAAAGGTGGGGTTAACAGCATTAGGGTTGTGATGTATTAAGGAGTAACTGGTGGAAGTCTTGATACTGTAGTAATAGGAATAAGGAAGTAGAATATGCCATTAAATCATATAATGCAAATAAATCTTGATATAATAATGTAGATAACATATATGCATTAATTTACAAAAAGGATGATTTTAAGAAACATAAAATTGTAGAATCAACTTCCATTCAGAAAATATGGAAATTTTAATGTACCATAAGTGAAGTCCATCCAAACTCATTGCTACGACCTTTATCAGTAAGGTAGAGCCTGACTGTGATGCCACCATTTTATCACACTGTGTCAGACTCCTGCCATGATCTGACCTTGTATTATCAAATGAAAAAGGTATCAGTGGGCATTGAATCTGTATTGTCTTAATGTTAGATTCTGTCTTGTAGTTGAGATTCCCATAAGTACAGTAATATCTCCATTAGCCAGAATCCCTGAAACCCCAAACTCCCCGATAGCAGGAATTGAAATTTACTCGGAAAATTGTTCCCAGAGCCGTAATTTTCCGGAAAATTACGGCTTTGGGAACAATTTTCCGAGGGGCACATTTTCCGGAAAATTTCGAGAAAATTTTCCCAATACTCGGAAATTTCCGGGGATGGGGGAGTTTTTTCCGGGTTTGGGAGAGTCGTCTCATTCCCGGAAGTGCTCGGCGCCTATTGTTCCGGCTAACAGAGATATCACTGGATAATTGTTGTTATGTTTTGTGGTGCTAATTTTTGTTATTGAAATATTTCATCAGTATATCAGTCTTGGTATTATATCTTTTTAGGACACAGGAGTGATTTTATCCTGCCAGACCGTAATAAGTACGTTAACATGCAGCGCCACTTTCTTCGCTCCTATATGAATTTGGTCATCCAGATCTGCCACAGGCGGGGAGCACATGCCACAGGCGGTATGGCAGCTAACATCATGGTGTCTCGGTAAGCTTCACCACCATACAGTGTCCTTCCAGATGTTTAAGATTTACTATGTACAGTATACTACATGTGCAAGTTGGCAATATGAGCAAGTGTAAATGGAGTATTATTGTACATTGACCCTTTCTTGTTGTTGATATGTGATATATTTTATAATGATTTTGCTATAATTTTCCTCCCTTTCTTTGAGTTTCTTCTGTTCCTTGATCCAGACTATACAAAAATAGGAGAGCAATAAAGGTAATGGATATATATAGATAATTAGATGGATGTGTAGAACTATGATTTCCTTCTTTGCAGATAACTAATTAGTAAGTAAATAATTTTTCCCTTATAATGTTTGTCCAGTTTTTATTTTCCCATAGAATAGTTGGGAGGCATACAAAGTGTTTTTGTTTTTTTAATACCTTTATCATACCTAGTTTTGTTATAAAAACTTTTAATACACTCGGGTGAAGAAAGCAATCAGTAACCATGACATTTTACTTTAAAGACAAATTTGCATTGTTTAATGAATTGTCAGATATCTCTCTCTCTCTCTCTCTCTCTCTCTCTCTCTCTCTCTCTCTCTCCAGTTTAGCATTAATGGGTTTTATTTTTCCAGGGATATCGGTATTATAGCAAATACTGCACAGGCCAAAGTACGCGAGGTTTTTGCTGGTGTTGACGGCTTCATGGTGTATGACGTACGTTTGATTCCAGTCGCTACAAAGGTGAGTTAGTAGAAAAATATATTGATAGATACAGTAGTCGAGTTGATGGGATATTTGAGATATAGTAGTAAATGACGTGTGTGGGGAACAGCTAAGGATTTTTCCAACAATACTGTTCTCTGGAAGGTACCATAATAGTACTGTGCACTGCATTAATTATTTTCAGGTATTGCAGCACATAGTAGGAGACAACCAGATTGACAGGATAATAGAGGACGTGCATGTAGGTGCTGGAGACTTGCTGGAAATGCCTTCAGGTAATGAGAGAAAATTGCGATAAACCTACCTACCTCTCTCTCTCTCTCTCTCTCTCTCTCTCTCTCTCTCTCTCTCTCTCTCTCTCTCTCTCTCTTTCTCTCTCTCTCTCTCTCTCTCTCTCTCTCTCTCTCTCTCTCTCTCTTCTCTCTCTCTCTCTCTCTCTCTCTCTCTCCTCTCTCTCTCTCTCTCTCTCTCCTCTCTCTCTCTCTCTCTCTCTCTCTCTCTCCTCTCTCTCTCTCTCTCTCTCTCTCTCTCTCTCTCTCTCTCTCTCTCTCTCTCTCTCTCTCTCTCTCTCTCTCTCTCTCTCTCTCTCTCTCTCTTTCTCCCTCTCTCTCTCTCTCTCTCTCTCTCTCTCTCTCTCTCTCTCTCTCTCTCTCTCTCTCTCTCTCTCTCTCTCTCTCCTCTCTCTCTCTCTCTCTCTCTCTCTCTCTCTCCTCTCTCTCTCTCTCTCTCTCTCTCTCTCTCTCTCTCTCTCTCTCTCTCTCTCTCTCTTTCTCTCTCTCTTTCTCTCTCTCTCTCTCTCTCTCTCTCTCTCTCTCTCTCTCTCTCTCTCTCTCTCTCTCTCTCTCTCTCTCTCCTCTCTCTCTCTCTCTCTCTCTCTCTCTCTCTCTCTCTCTCTCTCTCTCTCTCTCTCTCTCTCTCTCTCTCTCTCTCTCTCTCTCTCTCTCTCTCTCTCTCTCTCTCTCTCTCTCTCTCTCTCTCTCTCTCTCTCTCTCTCTCTCTCTCTCTCTCTCTCTCTCTCTCTCTCTCTCTCTCTCTCTCTCTCTCTCTCTCTCTCTCTCTCTCTCTCTCTCTCTCTCTCTCTCTCTCTCTCTCTCTCTCTCTCTCTCTCTCTCTCTCTCTCTCTCTCTCTCTCTCTCTCTCTCTCTCTCTCTCTCTCTCTCTCTCTCTCTCTCTCTCTCTCTCTCTCTCTCTCTCTCTCTCTCTCTCTCTCTCTCTCTCAACATTAGTTTCCTTCATTTGTTATGTTTGAGCTGCCTTACTTGATGTTTTATAATTTGGTGATGTATCTATCACACATGAGCAACTTGTCCATCACCAAAAGTCACTCAACTTTGTGGAATTTAGAGTTCGTTTAACTTGTTTTCTGGAACTAAGATTTTTTTTTTTGTGTGTGTGTGTCGGTGGAAAGATGTAACCACACAAGGAGTCCCTCACAGAAACCATGTTAGGTAACACAGTAGTGGCATCGTGTCTTCACTATCAGCTTCTCTAAACACGGTTTGATGCTTGACATTCTCTCCGTTATCCCATCCTTAGGTTTAGTCGTAACAATCTTGTTTTATTTATTCTCTCTCATTTCTCTTTTCCTTTTTTTCAACCCTCACTTTGTACATATTGCTGTATATTTTTTTTTTCGTTCTTCCAAGGAGCCTGAATCAAAACCAACACTGACTTTTTCCTCACTCAATATCATTCCATCTTTCTAACTGCTTTACCAGACATGTTTTGTCATGTTGCTTCTCTTCCACAACATGGCCTCAATATATCCATCAGGTTCACCCATTACTATGTTTGCATTGTTCATAATCTTCCACTTACAGGTGGTGTTACCTTAGCGGGCCTAAAGCACAATGTTGCTGTGGGCATCTTATTCATTGATGCTTGGCTACAGGGTAAAGGCCACTACATATATAAAGCAGCAGTAGAAGATTCAGCCACGGCAGAAATATCTCGGTCACAAGTATGGCAGTGGATCAGACACAGGGTCAGTAGCAAGGATCCTTACATGTTACCCAACTCTTTGACTTATAGTTTTATTTTTCTGTTAATGATTGTACTTTGTGGATGGAGTTCAGCATTAGAAATGTACAATGTTTTATGATAAATTGTGTTTATGGCCCGAGAAGCAATTTAAAAGTCGTGGCTTTTTAAATGTTATTTCTCCTTGAGAATCCCTGTTTTGTAGTGTACTGTATTTGACATATACAATACTAAATAAAGGCCTAAGAACCCTGCCAAGGATTCTTGATGCAAGTGATACAACTTAGATTTGAACACTGAGTACAAATGTGTGTGGATGATCAACAAGTATGAGTTAAAGTAGACTTGATATATTGCCAGAATGGGGCCAAGAATTGTTGTCCAATAGGAAGTACAGTAGTACTGTATAGGCTAAGGGATTGCAGCCCTTAAAAATGCAAAAAAAAAAAAAAACTTGCAAACATACTGTATGTTTCACCCAGTTGAACCCACAACCAGGCCACCATGATGCCAGGGCAACTTGTCACAGTTGGAAGCTGGAATGAAATACTGTACAATATTGTAGTGTTTTAAACATACAATATCTTTCTAAGAAATTGAAAAAAAAACACATTTGATGAGCTATCTAAAAAAATGTTTCTTCTCTAATGTATTTGAAACATTGAAAAAACATATACTGTACTTACACTGTATAATGGTCATCTTACACTGTGCTGATTTTAGTGCAGAACAGAGAAATGACCAACGGGCCAGCCAGCTTCAGTAGTGAAGAGGATAAGTAAGATGTTACTGCAGTCACCATTTTTTTCTTCATAAGAAAAATGGGAGTAATTTAGGGTGTACCTTACTGTAATGTATTGAAATATAAAATAACAAGGGTCTACTGTATACGTACTCTGCCTGTGTTGTAAAATCAGTTTTGTTAATCACAGAGTAAATCATTGTCATCAAGTGAGTCTCAGTGACAAAGGCATGAATAGAGCTGCTGATACATCTAGAATATTAGAAGATAAGCAATGGAACTAAAGTATCATCATTATTAGCAGTTTGTAAGATTTAGAATGTAAATGTAAATTATTGCTGAAAAGTGAATATCACAGCTTGAGTAAAGTTGGAACGTATGAGAAAATTTGAATTGCTTCAACATATGGCTCAGCTTATTGTATTAATTATGAATAGTTGATTTGGAAATAACTTGAATAAATAAAACTTTCCATATACTTTTTCATGATAAGTTTTGTTTTAGCAAAAGTTGTTGATATATTAAAATTTTCAGGCAACACTGGAAGACAATGGAGAGGTAATCAGCAGAGGCCTTGTACAGCAACTGATTAAGGACTTCATAGACTCAACCATCACATCAGGTGACCCTGTTCCTATGAAGTCAGATGAAGACAAGGAAAGATTAAGAGTAGCTTCTGAAATATTTGAAGAGGTGGTGACTAAGAGGGAATTTCCTGAGTTCCTGACAACATATTTGAACCTTGACCACACCTTCTTAAGCTATCAGAATAAATATTCGGAGTAGAGAACGTCTTAACAGAATTTCACGTCAAGAAGTTTTGTTTCACTTGTGTATTCATTGTTATTTCGGTTGTCATACTTTTTTTTATAGTATGTTGTGGTAGTATCAAGGTTCTCACACTTTGTAGGACTTTGTGTTGTTCCATGACTTGCCTAGAACAAGGGCAAATTTGCTATATTTGCCTATTTTTTTTTATTTTTTTTTTGGTCATTAATGAATTCTAGCAGCTATGAGAGTGGGGAGGGGGGGTTCTGTGCACACCCGTAAGCCTGGGAAGCACGCCAACAAGTAGGAAAAAAGCCGTGGCCAAGAGGAAATTAAATGGTGAGACGGTGAGACATATGTTATTATTATACCAAGACAAAGCTACAGGTTGCTGCTCTCCAGATAGGACCCCCATGTTCCTGTGGATGCTTTAAGTACATTAGGCAGTGACATGACAGCAGAGTATCTTCACTAACTTTTGGCCACTCCAGAGCTACAATGCACAGAATGCCTACATCTCCAAGGTTGTTAATTCCCAGGAAGTGAAGTATTCTAGTGTGTGTGACTGCCCCAACAGGAGTCTATGTTGTATTAAGTACTACACAATTTTGTTCGGTAATTCTACTCAAGATTTACACCCCCGTGCCTTCTACAGTGTCCACGGCATCAGTGAGAAGTGTTGTTGAGTGTTATTATAATCATTAACTCCTCTATTGACTGTTTCATGTCATCAAGTAAGATATGTAAAAGAAAAAAAAAATTTAAGGTGATAAATTATACACAGTCAAAAGGGGTGATACAGTATTTTTAAGAGTATTTTTATGTGACCAATTTCTGGTATAAATATGAAATTTATATGATGATTATTAATTTGTAAAAAATCACAAATGAAATGTTACACTTTTTCATACATAATCAAAAAGCCTCATTTTAAAGGGAAACTGAAGAAAGGAAAAGTTTTTAAAATGCTCAACTTTATTGCAGTTTTGCATACTGAAGATCATTACTTGTTAAGATAGAAGCATAGGATATTATGCTTTGTGTTCAAGGGATGCTAGGATGACTTACTAATCTGGTGCTCATAAATATTGCTGCTATATACAGTACAGGGTTCCCATACTATTGGGTAGACTAGGAAAATTAAGTAACTTGAGGTTTGTTGTTTCCATTTGACATTAAACTGTAAAAATTTTATAATTGAAGAAAAATCAGGAAAAAAATGGGGTTCCCAGGAAATTATAAATCTCGGCTCAGGGATAATTGTTAAACTGGGCCTTTCAATGTTATGTTTGGTGATAAATGTTTAATGCCTGTGGTTCTGAGACCTTGAAAAAATGCCTTATGTGACTCTGGAAAAACCTGGATAAAACTAGAATTTGAAAATGTCTTTTAGGTTTGGTAATCCTGTAATAGACATATAATTATTTTACTAACAAGTGTATACAAGGATTACAGAGGGATATTATATGGTACTGCAGTATATTAAAAAGCGGTGTTTATATTTTATAATAACATTTGATTTTATATTTTTTAAGAAATTTTGTTTTGTTTTATACAGTACTGTGTTTATAAGAAACATATTTTACATTTTTATGTCTAACTATTAAAACAGTTATTGCTCGGTTCTTCATGTTTATCCTAGATTGTTTATGCAAAGTAATTGGCATATTATTTGGTGCTTGGAAGTCCTACATATACTGTAATGCCCAGTTCCTACTCTGTAAAAGGTGCTTCAAATTTTCTTGATGGCAACTGGGACACCAAGCCACCGGGTAATAGCTAACCCACACAAGCATGGAAAATGGCTGTAAAATAGATGGCTATCTGTGTCTTGCAGGAAAAGGCTTGCCAGAGTTAATAAAGGATGTCTGAATGAGGGAATCTGGCCATTATGCAGTGATCACTAGGATCATGGGCAATCACCAGTGCCAGGATACTGAAATAGAGAAATTAAGAAGTAGTTGCAGATGGTTCACAGATGTGATGTTCCAATATCACATTAATTAGATGAAAAACAACTACTGTACTGTACTTTGTAGTAACCTAAAACTAAATATTTTACAGTATTAGTATTATGGGTGACTTCAATGCAAAAATAGGATAAAAGAATATACAGGTATTCCCCAATTTACAATATTCCGCTTTAACGATGCTGATGTATTAAAACCACACCCCCTATTTACAATGTAAACAATCTGCGTGAATGATGGTCATCGCACACCCAATGTGGACTATGGAATGCATCTTTCGGTGCACTTGTCAGCTGCAGTATACCTATCCATGAGCCGACACATGGCCACCCGGTGCACTACAGTACCAAGCTTTATTCCATAGTGATTGTGCACATGGCCGTGATCATGTAGCTCAACGATTATCAGTCAGTATCGGTGTTTTTTTTTTTTTTTTTTCTTCTTCATCTCACAGAGAGGGCATCACTAATGTTCACATTGTACTATACTCCATTTTGGTGACTAAGAAGGGACTTTTGCTGTTATTTGTGATTGTAAAGTGCTTTGCCTCTGTTGTTGTGAACATGATTTTAGCAACGTCGGCTGTTATTATTTTTTTATGTTATCGTTCTCTCTGTTCTTGTGACTGAAGTGAGCAGTGTAACTTTGAATATGTTTGAGAAGGCTAAGTCACCCAAGACAACTGTGTCTCTGAAGGTGAAGCTTGACATTGTGAAGAGGCATGAGACTCCCCCAGAGGCTTTGTGGGAGTCAAAATGATGTCTCTGCTCCACACCATCAAGAGTCCCCTTAGCCTCAAAGGGGACGTGTAATAACGACTAGGCTTCTTCTTAATATGGTGAGTGTTGTTTACTTGTGCTGTAGGTATAGTATTAGTGTTGTTGTTGTTGTTGTGTTTGCTTTTTTATGTGGGTGTCGGACTGGCTAGGAACGTATCCCGTCAAACCCCATGTTATAATGATCCTGATTTACGAAATTTCGACCTGTAATGGGTTTTTCAGGAGCATAACCTCATAGTAAATGGGGGAATACTTATACTTGTAGTGTAATGGTCATGATAAGAGCTAACCTGAAAACCTTAAGGATTCATATTACGCTCAAACGTCCACAAAACCTTCCGAGTCCCCCAGTGGAAACGTCCCCCGTTTTCTCTGTTTCCCCCGCCTTTGTCTATGGGAGCAGACGCTGTATGCTGGGACCTGTTGCCATCCATTCCTTTGTAATCAATTTAATTCTGCTTTCGATAGCTGAGTCAGAGCATTGTTAGTGAAGATAATAGTAGAGAATGAAAAGGAGTTCATAGTCTCAATTTCAACGTCAGAGGGTACCGTAAATTAATTCATTGGAATAGGAGTAGCTGGACTCCCTGGCCTAGTTTGAGTGAGGGCGCCGCGGGCATTTTAACCGTTAGTAAGTGCCCGTCCCTTCATCCATACAGGTATGCCATTCCACGCTGTGTTGTAATTGCCCTTCTTTAAGTGATTTGACCCAATTAATAGTTGATTGTGCAAGTGTTACAGTAACGTAGTTGATATGTTCTGAGTAAAGTCATATTTACGTCTTTAACGTCCCCTGAAACGTGTTGTTGTTGTCACCAGTTAGTAAGTGCCCGTCCCTTCATCCATACAGGTCCCTAACGCAGCCTAGGCCGTGTCTGTAGGGTGGATGTTGTATCCACTATGTCTGGGGACATGTCCGAGGTCCAGTAGGATCAGTTACCTTCGTGAGACCCGGCCGTCAGACACTTCAGACCACCTATAGCCCCCATAGCTGGCTCGTCTGGCCCTAACGCTCGGTCCACGAGGTGACCCTGGACCACCAAGCCACACACCACTACCAGCCCCCATCATTGGTGGATGAGTGTCTACCTCAGTAGGGCTATATTTGTGTGGTGGAATTAACCCACTGGGATCTCCAGAGTTCGTCGGATAGTACTCCATGGTGGCTGGACCCCATGGCTGTTGCTTGAGTATCACTCCTGACGACTGAGTGTTGTAGTGGCAGTTGCCTAGTATTTATGGTGCTAAGTGACTATCATAGTTGTGCTATTGAGTATGTCCACCCAGTAGGGTTGGAAGTGTATTGAATATGTCCATCCAGTAATGGTGTGAGTATGTTGAGCCTGAGGGCCTAGTAATAGATTTCGTCTGTTAGTACAAACCAATTTTTTCTTCTAATTTCATATTCATGTTTAAATAAACTTTGTATCTGTATAATTGGGTATATTATTTACCTACAGTATCTACCGTTATTTCTTCCCTATTGCTTGATACTATCATTACACCTACCCACGAGCCTCCTATCGTCACGCTACCAATGGTGATATATGAGAGTAAAAGGAATTGTTACTGGCACACAGGCCCTCATGAAGGGTGGCAGTAGCAGCCCTCATAAATGGTGGCAGCTCAAGCCCTCATAAATGGTGGCAGTCAGCAGCCCTCATAGTAGTAACAGTAATGGGCCAATTAATGAACACATGTTTGTTTTATGTGAATTTTTCTTTATGAAGACAAACAGGAAATGATCCATATAAAAGACTGAATGCAATGAATTTTATAAAACAAGGTCACACTTGATAACACCCTTCTGAACCTGGCCTGGCCCTGAGCCCAAGACACAGTAGTGAGAGAAATTCAAGACGTTGGGTCAAACGATGAGCAGGACAGGAAGATGTATGCAAGAGCCACAAACCAAGCAAAGGCAGAGTGTAGAAGGGCTGAAAAGGAGTTCCAGAGGCTGGTTGCAAGCGAGGTCAAGTCAAACCCAAAGGCGTTTTACCGCTATGCAAAGTCGAAATTACAAACGCGAGTAGGAGTATCAGACCTGAGGCTTGAAGATGGTAGTTACGCAGATTCTGACCAGGATAAAGTTGAGGCATTAAACAGCTTCTTTTCCTCGGTGTTTACAAGTGAGGATGTGATTAACCTTCCTGCGTTACAGGGCAGACGGTTCGACACAGCACTGGCCCACATTGTGTTCACAGAAGAGGGTATTAGAAATAAACTGTCAAAGCTAAAGGTCCATAAGAGTCCCGGCCCTGACATGGAGCATCCTAGAGTGCTAAGACAGTTGTGCAATGAGCTTGCCAGGCCTCTGAAGATCCTGTTTTGTAAATGCCTGGATGAACAAAAGGTCCCCAGTAAATGGAAAATGGCTCATGTGAGTCCTATCTTCAAGAAGGGCGATCGTCACTCCACGAACAACTACAGACCGGTGAGCCTGACCAGCATAATATGTAAAGTACTTGAGAGTATTATCAGAGATGCCACGATGGAACATCTAATACGAAACAACCTTATAAAGGATTGCCAACACGGTTTTATGACAGGGCGCTCCTGCTTAACACAATTGCTCAAAGTATTGGATATTTGGACCCATATTCTGGAATGGGGTGGCAATATCGACAATATATGCCTAGATTTTGCCAAGGTTTTCGACAGTGTACCCCACGAAAGGCTGAAAATCAAACTAGAAGGGTACGAAATTCGGGGAAATGTCCTAGCATGACCGCAAGCAGTGTGTGGTGATTAATGGCACGAAATCATCATCTGTAGCTGTCACAAGCGTGGTACCACAGGGCAGTGTGTATTGGGCCTGCTGTTGTTTGTTTGTTTCAAAAATGACGTGCCTGACGTACACTCCTCCATACAAATGTTTGCTGATGACGCCAAGTTATTTCGGGAAATCAAGAACCAAGCGGACTGTGAAGAGCTGCAGAAGGATCTCTGTGAGCTCCAAGAATGGTCAAAGAAATGGCTGCTGAGATTCAATGTCACGAAGTGTAAGAGGATGCACCTGGGGCGTACCAACGTTAAGGAGGCGTATCATATGTCCCAACGAGATGAAGAAACTGCACTAGTTGAGACTGTGTCTGAGAAGGACCTAGGTGTGTATGTTGACAATGAGCTGAAGTTCTCGGGCCATTACAAGAAGAAGGTAAATTAGGCAAATAAATTATTGGGTCTTATAAGAAGGTCGTTCAGATATCTAGACGGTCCGTCCCTCGTAACGATCTTCAAGAGTGAAGTGCTTCCCCATCTGGAGTACTGTCACCCCATCTGGTCCCCGAGATATGCTAGGGACTGTCAGTTGGTTGAAAATGTTCAAAGGAGGGCCACCAGACTGGTGCCAGCACTTCGGCACCTAAACTACCCTGAGAGATTGGAGCGCCTGAACTTACCTAGCTTATACTCCAGACCGGTAAGGGGCGACCTGATTGAGGTTTTTATGCATCTAAAGGGGCACTACTTAGTCGAGTGTCTTTATTTTGAGCTGGCAGACGCTCGCCCCACAAGGGGTCACAGCTCAAGATTGAAGAAGCCGCAAGTCCAGAAAACTGTGAGGGCAAACTTTTCGGAGTGAGAGTTGTAAACTCTTGGAACAATCTACCAGAAAGTGTTGTGACGGCACCGAGTGTGAGCTCTTTCAAGACCAGACTTGACCAACACTGGTGCAGGTTCAGGTACATTCAGGAGTCGGTGCATGCCCAGTACCTGCCAGCAGTGCATAACAGCCAGTACATGACTAGTAATTGCCAACAGTGCTTAACAGAGACGAGACCAAGCGGCTAACGAGCCGATCAGCGGTGAAGAGGATAAAAGTAAAAAGTAAAAGTGTGTTATCACTGTACAACCAACACCTCATCCACGCA